ATAGCTCTTCATTTAGAAGGGAAGAAAGGTGCCAGTTAGACAGATGTTTACACGCAATTTATTCGTACAAAGAAAAACAATATTAGTGCAAATCAATAGTAACTGTTTTATTGGATTCCAGAAATAACCATCAAAACTGTGAACCAATCTAAATAATTGTCAAAACTTGTAAACCAGTCCAATAATTTTGTCCATGATCAACAGTGTTTGTACTGTTGGCATTGATCAGAGCTATTTTGGTATATTGACTGATGACTTACCAAATATTAATCATTATTGGTGAATAAGAAGGGTCTTTATGGTGGATTTAGTCATTTGTCTTCTTGAATATTTTCACACTATTGTACTAAGTTAAGTGTTTTGGGTATTGGCATTCTGTCATTGGAACAGATAATGATTGTAATAATGTATGATACATGGCCTTTTGTTTGATAGGTAAATACAATGACTATTGTGTCATTAATGAGCAATGGCATTATTAGTGTAGTCTTGATGGGGACATAGCATTAGCAATAGAGTCTTGGTAATACTGTGGTGCCCAGACCCCTGCTTAGTGTTTCCAGGGCAGTCTGCAGCCTCACATTAACTCAGGGTTCGTTTTACACGGCCCAAGTACCAAATTATAAATGAACACAGAAGACATTTTGTAACTTAAAACTCTTTTAATTAAGATATTATATAGATCAATTTATTTAAATATACATAGTCATGGATGCCTACAGTCTCTTATTATTATTCCTATGGATGACCAGATTTAGTAAACAAATACCAGGTTTGGTACAATATAATGAGATACCAGATCTGGTAGTTACCAGATTGGGTACTATACCGGATTGGGTATTATACCAGATTTGGTATGAACCATTTCTGGAACAACCGTTCTCTACACTGGCAAAGTAATTATAACTGTTTAACAATAACAACAAGTGAATTTCACCTGTATCCGATCCATTTTCGGTTATTTATTCGTCTACAATTATCTACTCAATAGAGTACTTTTCTACCAGACGACCTGATATGAGATGACAACGATATGCTAACGCGCAGTATTTATAGTACCCTGTGACGTCATCACATTAATATTCAAAATGGCCGACCAGTGGCAAATTCAGAAATGTGACCAAATATTAAGCAAGATTACATGAAAATAAACGTATGTCAGCATTTAAGAATAGATAATAAACATTTATATATACAAATGGCATCTGAAAATCATAATAATGTGAGATAAAAGCAGTTACATAGAAAGTAATCATCAAAACAATGCGATGGTTCGTACTCAGAAATATTCGTACTCAAAGTCGGAAAATGAATAAATATTAAAGAACATTGATAAAATAGCCTGAGCATCACAATACTATTGTTCATTGCTTTAGCAATATGGTCTTGGCATTAGCAATGGAGTCTTGATATGGTCATGGCATTAACAATGAAGTCTTGATATTGACATGGCATTAACAATGGAGTTTTGATATGGTCTTGGCATTAACAATGGAGTCTTGATATGGTCTTGGCATTAACAATGGAGTCTTGAGATGGTCTTGGCATTAAAATGGAGTCTTGATATGGTCTTGGCATTAACAATGGAGTCTTGATATGGTCTTGGCATTAGCAATGGAGTCTTGATATGGTCTTGGCATTAACAATGGAGTCTTGATATGGTCTTGGCATTAACAATGGAGTCTTGGATATGGTCTTGGCATTAACAATGGAGTCTTGATATGGTCTTGGCATTAGCAATGGAGTCTTGATATGGTCTTGACATTAGCAATGGAGTCTTGATATGGTCTTGGCATTAACAATGGAATCCTAATATGGTCTTGGCATGAGCAATGGAGTCTTGATATGGTCTTGGCATGAGCAATGGAGTCTTTATATGGTCTTGGCATTAGCATCGAAGTCTTGATATGGTCTTGGCATTAGCAATGGAATCTTGATATGGTCTTGGCATGAGCAATGGAGTCTTGATATGGTCTTGGCATTAGCAATGGAGTCATGATATGGTATTGGCATTAACAATGGAGTCTTGATATAGTCTTGGCATTAACAATGGAGTCTTGATATGGTCTTGGCATTAACAATGGAGTCTTGATATGGTCTTGGCATTAACAATGGAGTCTTGATATGGTCTTTGCATTAGCAATGCGGTCTCGATATGGTCTTGGCATTTACAATGGAGTCTTGATATGGTCTTGGCATTAACAATGCAGTCTTGATATGGTCTTCGCATTAACAATGGAGTGTTGAGATGGTCTTGGCATTAAAATGGAGTCTTGATATGGTCTTGGCATTAACAATGGAATCTTGATATGGTCTTGGCATTAGCAATGGAGTCTTGATATGGTCTTGACATTAGCAAGGAAGTCTTGATATGGACTTTGCATTAGCAATGGAGTCTTGATATGGTCTTAGCATTAGCAAGGAAGTCTTGATATGGACTTTGCATTAGCAATGGAGTCTTGATATGGACTTTGCATTAGCAATGGAGTCTTGATATGGTCTTTGCATTAACAATGGAGTCTTGATATGGTCTTGACATTAGCAACGAAGTCTTGATATGGACTTTGCATTAGCAATGGAGTCTTGATATGGTCTTAGCATTAGCAAGGAAGTCTTGATATGGACTTTGCATTAGCAAATCATGGAGTCTTGATATGGTCTTGGCATTAACAATGGAATCTTGATATGGTCTTGGCATTAGCAACAAAGTCTTGATAAGGATTTGGCATTAGCAATGGAGTCTTGATATGGTCATGGCATTAGCAATGGAGTCTTGATAGAGAGAGACATTAAGTTAACGATTAAAATCAATTTATTAATTAAAGACTTCTAGATACCATTATTGGAAAATCTGTTTTGCACATGATTTTCTATGACCTATATCTGTTAAAGCATTATTACAGAGAAAATTAATAGCAGTTTATAATGAAAACCTTTTCAAACTTTTAATTATTTATTCATGAAAATTAATAAAACATATTGATTGTAAACCCATATTCTTTTTTCAGGTGCACTAGTCTCGTAGGCTTATCCGGTTTGTACAAAATGTGAATTTAACGCCATTTCAGCAGTTTTCACTAAAAATTTGCCACATTTTTTTTCGTCTTTCTGTGACAAGTTTTGATTAAATCTCTGTTTGTTTAGTTGAAGTTACATATCAGGCTTTATCTGTAAAATCACAGACAGTTTTCAGGAAAGGCTGTAATTGGAATTATGATATTTTCTCATACATCAGCATTAGTAAACAACAATGGTTTGAAATAAAAAATTTCTGTTTAATAATAAAATGTCTGGGACTGGACAGAAAAAAGGCATAAAATAGTAGAATTATTGTCCTTGATGTTATTGTTTGAGGAAAGTCAATGATTTTTCTGTCTGATGTATCCATGGGTGGCCTTGATTCGTTTCCCTAAACATTTTACAGTGCTAGGTTGATACACTTTAATTTATAATTTGATCCGAACGTTTACCTTTTGCAGATGCATTAAATTGACTTTGCTGTTTAGAAAAAAATCCAACTTAGTAAGTTTCTTTCTTAACAAACATTTGTTGAGACTTTCTAACATACACAGTAAGGGTGTTGACTCTAGGACAGGAATGAATTTAGGGTACGAGATGATATATATTTTTTTTATGCATTTTGTAAAATACAGATGTCATGGAAACATATTTCAGAAATTCATAATGTCTCTTATATTGGCTAGTTAGATTAAGCATGTAACTGTGTAGCTATATAATGATATATTTTTATTTGATTTTCATTAATTTATATTTTCTAAACATACAAAGTTGGTACACACTCTTATTTATATATATGGTCATAGAAATCTTATAAGTGGTCATAGAAATATTACTGATCTTAGAAAATCAATATGACTGGTCTTAGTAATCTTATAATTGGTGTAAGAAATCTTATAACTGGTCATAGAAATCAGTATGACTGGTCTTAGAAATCTTATTACTGGCCATAGAAACCAGTATGACTGGTCTTAGAAATCTTATTACTGGTCTTAGAAATCTTATTACTGGCCATAAAAACCAGTATGACTGGTCTTAGAAATCTTATTACTGGTCTTAGAAATCTTATTACTGGCCATAGAAACCAGTATGACTGGTCTTAGAAATCTTATTACTGGTCTTAGAAATCTTATTACTGGCCATAAAAACCAGTATGACTGGTCTTTGAAATCTTATTACTGGTCTTGGATATCTTATTACTGGTCATAGAAATCTTATTACTGATCGTACAAAATCTTATTACTGGTCTTAGAAACTACTATGACTGGTCTTAGAAATTTTAGTACTGGATTTAGAAATCTTATAACTGGTCTTAAAAACCAGTATGACAGGGATTAGAAATTTATTACTGGTCATAGAAACCTTATTACTGGTCTTAGAAATATTGTTACTGCATGGTCTTAGAAACCACTATGACTGGTCTTATAGAAATCTTATTGAATTCTCTGAATGCTAGTTATGTTAAAACTTATGGTCAGTGTCCTTTTCAAATCTCCAGACTCACTGCTGAATTTTTAATTCTAGCTTTTTGTTTGTGGAATACTCTGCAAATGATATTGAACAGATTCAAATTCAAAGCAAGTCCATTAAGGTGTCTGGGGTTAATCATCGTTTGACCATTAGTAATTTCTTAATATTCATCATTCCATTAAGCTCTTAGACTGTTTCTTATTCAGTTTTGTTTGTCTTCAACTTCAGACAAAGATATTTTTAAAATTCTCCTCAGAAATTTGATGAAACTTTAGATATTTTATAATACAGTCTGCCTAAAGCTATTACCTATTGGCTTCACATAAATGTCATTGAACTTATTACCATACGTTAAACAAGAGAGGATGGTGTTGTTATTTGAATTAAACAGCTAAAGAGTTTATGCTGTTGGTTGAAGAAATGGTATATATATATGACTGCAAGCTTTTGTAATAAATGTGGGAGTTTTACAGTTACAACAGTGTAAACATTTTTCGTCATTATATTTTCAGGTCTGGAATTTTTTGAAACATCAGCAAAAGAAAACATCAACGTAAAAGCTGTGTTCGAACGATTGGTGGATATAATATGCGACAAGATGTCGGAAAGTCTCGACTCGGACCCCACCCTCGTGAGCAGCCAGGCAAAGGGTACCAGGCTCACGGAGAATCCAAACCCGCAGGCGTCGGGCTGTCAATGTTAACACATCCACACACTTGTCAAAACTCATGTGTAGAAGGGAAAGACGTAGATAACGCGTGTTGAATATGCATACTGACTGGTGTTTTTATTTTATGTATATGCCAATAGGAAAATCATGCATACGAAAATTTATCATTGGTCATTTTTTTATCATTTTTATCACCATAAGAGTATAATGAACAAGGTCTCGTTATTGACTGCTGTCCAAACTGGGGTAGTTAACATTAAATCATTAGAGGCTGTAGTCTACAGGAATTCTGTAGCATTTTGCCAGTTTGATTTTAAAAACAAGTTAAAGCCATTTACCTGATTTTGTTACAGGAAATTAACAGATTTAGAGATATTTTTTCTTTAAAATAGAACGAGATTAGAGGTGTTTTGTTTTTTTACAAAACTAAATTTAAAAAATGTTAGAAAAAAAAAGGACAGTTAATGTGCATGGTAGAATAAAGATGTACTTTTAAAGTGAAACATACAAATGCTCTGAATATTTTTACAGATTGATGAAAATGAGTTTAGTTTTGTATGTTTTTGAAGAAAAATTCTGTCTACAAAAACAAAGTCATATATAGTACTCACCCCATGCTTAACAGAAAATATAGGCTTTTATACTAATACATTCATGAAGTCTGGGTTCTAGAATAATTAATATATATATAGGTTGTTTTTTTTCCGTAGAACTCTTTTATGTTCTTTGGTTGAATGCGTATTACATTATTGAACTTGTATTACGAAGGTTTCTTGATAGTAAAATATAACATTTTACAATATAGCCCATGTTTATGATGTAATAATCTTTTGCCGATATTCGCTATTTATGTCCGGTTTAATTGAGAACATAGTACATGTAATTAGCACGGAGTGTATATGTCATAGACTGAGAAAAAATTTGACTCCAAGAATGTATGTTTATACAGTTGTGTTTAACGACACATACATATTAAATATTTGTGTAGTGTATATGCACTATGTAATGTGTTGTTACAAACTAGTGCATATGAGAATATGTAAAATGTTTTTCCCATATAATGTCTCCTTTTTTTGAATACATTGTACGATGTTATTTACGTAAATGTATATTTATGTGTACATTTTCTTTTTCATTGTCTCAGAGCCAAACTAGTGTAGCAGTTAACGAAAGAAAAAAAGCAGATAGACTGGTTTGGCACTCAGACTGCATTTTATTGATTTACGCAGTTATTTCCGAGTATCGATGTGCGAATAAAGTTTTCAAGACTCATCAAAGTACAATAAAATGTCTGCCATTTGGGCTCCGGACATACATTTTATGCCATTATTTGGCCATTTCCACTTAAGGTAATGCAAATTACTGATTAAAGGAGAAATCCTGGTAAGATTATCTTTGAAGAAATCCATTTTACGGCAGGCTTTATACAAATGTATAACAACGTCGTCGCTTTCATGATGAGATCGTGAAACTTCTTTCTCTCGCTGTCAGAAATCTTGCGAGGCACAAAGCATGATTTACTGATAATCTTGAATTACGGTTTAACATAAGAATAGCAACAAGTCTAATAATGCCGCCTTCCATTGGCGATGTTTAATTTGAATATGAAGTTCATTTGTGTAATTTGTAGATTTCTCACTATTGAAATTTAAATTGATCTTATACTTCAGTATATTGTTTTCATCTCTGAAACTAGACGTATTTTGTTTTTTTATTTACAGTTATACAAACGTTGAAAATGAGCATTTTGTTACAAAACTTTGTGCAATAATGATTGATATTGAATTTATGTTATGCTCACTAACAAAAGAGTTTTTTTCCTCTTTCAAAAATCTTAGAAATAGGTAATGTGGTTATTACAGTTTTTTGCATTTTTGAGGGGTTTTCATAATATTGACTTTTCATAATTAATTGTAATATACATAAGGTTTCTTGTATGCTTTGTTTAGAATTACCAGCATGTATATATGGAGAGTATTTTGGCATGGCCTACATTTAATTCCAAGTTTCATTAAACATTCCATTTTATATTTTTCTCAAATTTTAAAATTACAATTGCCAGATTCTCTTTCAAAACATTTTTTTTTTTCAGTGAAAATTTTGTATCTGGTAAGAACAAAATATTTACTACCTCTAAGTGTATAAGATTGTTCTTTATGGAAACAAAAAAACGTGCACTCAATTTTTTTGTTCAAAGAAGAGCACTTGGCATTTTTGCGATTATTATAATTTGTTACTTTTGCCTATATATCATGTGGAATATTTTACTAAAACATAACCTCCATTGTATGTACATTATATAATAAGCATGACCGATTCAATGGTCAGATAATTCTCTCTTATCTTTTATTTTTTGACGAGTATCTACCATCGGAATAAATTTGTCTCACCCCCGTAATTAATTCTAATTATGGTTCTATACCGCATCAGACAGAATTCTTCTACAGATCATGCCAAAAAAAAAAATGATGGGAGATATATTATCAAGTATCTTAATTAAAATGTATCACTAGAGAGACATTAACAGTGAATATTCTTATTTCCAGACGAATTTTTGATTCTTTTATATGACTAAAAAATATCCCTAGACTGTACTGCTGAAAGGAGAAAAAGAGATAGAAAAAAAGTGCAATAATTAAAATAAAAAAAGATAAACATTTTAACTGGTTAGGAAAAAACATATGATTTTTAAGAATTGTGTGGAATAAAAACCCATAATCTGCTGGAATTGAAAGTTACCTTTGCTACCCATATTGAGGCAGACAAGTTTGCACTTCCGTGCCATCTAACCTGGCTCTTTACTGCAGGTAGCTCAATTTTTAAATTTTTTTTTTTTTTGTATTTTGATATTAAAATCCCTTAAACTTTAAATGGACTGTGTCAAATTCAAAGCAGTGCAAATCTTTAGGTTAAGGGTTAAAATAAGATTTTTAAACCATAAGATCATAGGGAATTATTGAATTGTATGAAAGGGGGTGATTTATTTGATATGTTACAAAAAAAGGCATTTATTTGAAATAATTGTTAGTGCAATATACTGGTTGTTCAAGATTTACAGTTTACGAAATTTTATCTTATTTACTGAATTAGATCTGAAAATATTGGCATATGTTATGAATATAGATACAAAATTTCATCATATTAAAGCTATAGATCTGAAACTGTTGACATATGTTTTTTGATCATAAATATGAAATTTTTATCATAATTATAGTCTCTTGATCATTCGTAATCATACTAATGTACATGTATATTGTAAGTGTTCTAATTTAAAGCAGTTTGTTTTTCTCTATCAGTTGTAAAATCATATACTTTCAGATGCCATGAATTTGCTTAACAATGTATCAGTGTACATAAAAGTTAAGAATTGATGAATTATTTTAAGATAATCATTTGTATGACAGTCCTTTTATTAGTATTTCATGAAAATAGACACTTTCTGTGAACTGTATGGTCACTTAGATTACAGTAAATGTGTTGTCATATTTTTTACAGTCTTGGCCAAATTATCTTATTTGATCGGATACATATATTTGAATATTTGACTTTGATTGAATTGACCAAAACATGTTTGGTCAGTTTGTCCAGTAGAAAAAGATTTTTGTAAAATTTGTGGCAAAATATAAACTGAAAGTACATGATTTTACAGTGAATGTATTATAATTGAGCCGGGTCACGACAAAACCAACATAATGGGTTTGCGACCTGCATGGTTCCAGACCAGCCTGCGCTTCCGCGCAGTCTGATCAGGATCCATACTGTTTGCTATCAGTTTCTCTACTTGTAATAGAGTTGGTAAGCGAACAGCATGGATCCTGATCCTGGATCCATGCTGGTCGCAAACCCATTATGTTGGTTTTGTCGTGACGCGGCTCATATAGTGACAAGACATTTTGTTATATGATTATAATTGTATGTGTTTTAAACACCATTCCATCTAGCTGGTGTGGGACCAATATTAGAAATTCCTATATTACATTGATAAATTTATTGTTTTTCTCTTTTAATATATATATATATTTATTATATATATAGACTTTTTTGTCTAAGTAAGACATTCCATGACTGTACATTCAATATTTATACATACATATATATATACATACATATATTTCTTGTTTGTTTATTTGCTTGTCATTATTGTTTGTTTGTTTCTGTGCTAAGATTTTGAATGAAATTGACCTTTTTTTTTTACAGTAAATTAACTTTTTACAATAAATCAACTTTTAATGGAATTGAGAAAAAACAACAACATCAATAACAGTAACTTGAAGCACCATGCTTGTGCACAATTTCAGTGTCTTAGAAATTCAATCAGAAAAGCTCATTTGATAGAGAACGAGAATTGCATGTTACGAGTTTTTCTCACTTAATTTTCAGATTAAATATGAAAAAAAATCTTTTTTTTTTTAAGGGAATTGAGTTTTCTTTATATTTTTATCGTGCCATTATACCCAACTACGCAAATTACAAGTGTTTTTCTAAGCTACATTTCTAGGAATAAGAAAATTATTTCCATTAAAAGTAAATCATTTTCTGTCAGCATTTGAGCTGATATTTTCTGATTAAGTCATGAAATGCAAATGCTATATATTTTCTTGCAAGCAGGAATGTATAATAACAATTTCTTCCCATGGATATGTTAAGGTAGTTCATTTCATGAAAAAGTGGCATCGATTAAGACATGTAAGGTACATACCGGTAGGTATAACAGGCAATTTTATTTTTGGTCTCTTAAACTTTTTAGATATTTGATAAGAAGAGATTTTTTTCTAGGTAATATGATTTTAATATAATTATGATAGTTATATTGATTAAATTTTGTCTGTAAATGAACCTATAGTTTTTCTATGAGAAACCTTTTGAAATCCATTTTAAAGGGCGTTATTTAAAAAAAGAGTGTTATTTACAACATATATGGTAGTTAAATTGTTTTATGTGTAACAGACCAGGTGTTTTTCAATGTAAAAACGTTTTAAAATCCATTCTGAAAGACGTTATTTAAAGCAAAAGGGTGTTATTTTTAGCTCGACTATTCGAAGAATATGAGAGCTATTGTAGTCGCCCCGGCGTCGGCGTCCGCGTCCGCGTCCGCGTCTGCGTTGGTTAAAGTTTTTTGTAAAGTCAAATATCTCAATTATTACTTGAGATATTCAATTGAAACTTACAATACTTATTTATAGTAACAAGGTACATCAGATTGACAAGTTTGATAACTCTGCCTACAATATTGACAGAATTATGCCCCTTTTTAACTTAGAAATTTTGGTTAAACTTTTTTGTAAAGTCAAATATCTCAATTATTGCTTGAGATATTCAATTTAAACTTACAATACTTATTTAAAGTAACAAGGTACATCAGATTGACAAGTGGGATAACTCTGCCTACAATATTGACAGAATTATGCTCCTTTGGAACTTAGAAATTTTTGTTAAAGTTTTTTTGTAAAGTCAAATATCTCAATTATTGCTTGAGATATTCAATTGAAATTTAAAATACTTTTTTGTTGTAACAATGTACATCAGTGTGCAAAATTGCATAACTCTGCCTGCAATATTTGCAGAATTGTTTGCCCCTTTGAAACTTAGTAATTTTGGTTAAAGGTTAAAGGTATTCAAAGATATTTACTTGAAACTTTACACATGCACTTAGGGTCATAATTGGTGGGTCATAATTGTATGTCACTGACCAAGTTCCATAACTCTATCTTGCATTAAGGCTGATTCATATCCCCTTTTCTACTTAGTCTCATGGTTAATGTTTACATGCAAGTTTTACATATCTCAATAACTATTAAAGATATTTATTTAAAACTTCACATATGCATTTAGGGTCATAATTGTAGGTCACTGACAAAGATCCATAATTCTATCTTGCATTTAGGCTGATTTTTCTCCCCTTTTTCAACTTAGAAATTCATGGTAAAGTTTTGTTTGTAAGCTGTTATCTCAATAACTACTGAAGGGTTTGTCACTTTGTGCCTTTTTTGGGACAATTTTATGCATTCATAATAATAAAGCAGTGATTTCTTGATAAAACATCTTAATAACAAGCCTTTGTACCTTGTCTGTCAAATTTATGTATTCATAGGTAATTAGTATTATTATATTCAATAAAACACCCTTGTGACATTACCTTCCGAATAGTCAAGCCAATACTGTATAATTAGACTCTCTCTAAGGCCTATAACATGAATTTATAAAAAAAAATTAGCACTTTTGTGAACTTAAAAAATTTAACATTATCAAGGCTCTTTTACTATCAAGCACTTAGAATAGTCGAGCGTGCTGTCCTTCCGACAGCTCTTGTTTAAAAAGGCCGTTATTTAAAGCATATACGGTATTTAAATTGTTTACATTGAAGCTAGTATTGATGTCCTGTCTGCATATGATGAAGTCATATATCTCATACTATAACCAAAATGCCAAAGGAAAACATTTAATATTTCTACGAAGCTTTAATGGCTCTTCTTTATTGATTTCACTACATTATTGGTCGCTGTTGCAATTGCTAGTTTTACATTATGTCTCCCTTCAGACCCATAGAGCAATAAAGTATTGTCAAAAATCAGCTAAACTAAACAGTGCATCCATTTATAAAAGACATACACACAAATTATCATGCATACTTCAAAAATATTATCAGAATAATATTTTAGTATTTTACGGTAATGGAAAATAGTTGTAAAATAAATTGAATTTGTAATTGAATTGTATATGAGTGTTTATTGAATCAGATGATTAATGTAATAGATAAGGAATGGAATATGTAATTGAATAACTAAATAGGTAATTGAAAATGTAATGTAATAGAATGATAAGTGAGAAGATTTTCAAATGAGTCATGTAATATGTAATTGAATATGAAATAGGTAATTGAAAATGTAATGTAATAGATAAGTGAGACGATTTTCAAATGAGTAATGTAGTAAGTAATTAAATATGTAATATAAATTGCTGAATTTTAATTAACGTTAATGACCTATACTCTGTCGGTGTGATGTAAAACCCAATCAAGCATTAACGTTAATGACTAACACATGGAAAGGACATCTATTAATATTGACAAATTGAATGATATTAAAAATTAAGTTTTGTTATTTAATACCCATTACTATTATATTTATCCTTGTTATGAGAGAGAGCATCTTTTTGGTAATTTGTTATCTTTATTGTGTTTATTTTTCTTTTCTTTAGTTTATAAATAGAAATCCATGTTGTTATTATTTTTTCTGTTTGAAATTTTATCCATATTTCAAAGTTTATTTGGTTGTGTTGTTTTTTGATTTTAGATTTTTTTTGTTTTTTATTTTCTCATACATGCATCTTTAAATGCAGGTTCTTGTTTTTGTCAGCAATTTACTAATATACAAAAATGCATTTACTTACATTTATTTACAGTTATATTATGGGTTGTGTTTGTTTTCTTCTTTTTTCCAATCTTATTTATGTTTATCCTTGCAGCAATTTTGCATTGTTACGCTGAATTACAGTTGCAGCAATTTTTCTATTCTAGTCTAAAAGATCTATTTACAAGTCTGAAAGCTCAATTTATTTCACATAATTAAAAAAGTCAAACATGATACTTCACAAAACTGTGCATTGACAATGTTATTTTTCTTCAACTTTATCATCGGAGAAAAAAATTGAAATCTTTTTGTATATGTTACAGAAATATAGTTTCTAATAATGCTAATAATCACTAAAATGTGGCAATAGAGTATTTGAAAAAAAATCTAATATTTAAATGAGAATTATTGTATTAAAGAATATTAAAGATAAGGCAAAATTATAAAGAATATTGTTTTTTACGCCTTAAGGTTCCCTTTTCTTAAGGTAAAAGGTAAATGTTTTTTATTTAGAATCTTAGTACTAAACCCTTGTCCTGCTGTACCCCAAAGTGATTTAGTATTTGCCACCAGTATAGAGCCAGGCCAGGGTACTCATCCATGCAGTCTGATCAGGCAGGCATATACTGTTGATAAATCAATTTTTGGTTTTGGTGTTATAATTTGGAAATCCCTTTGAATGGACTGTTCTAAATTCTAGGCTTGGCAAGTCCATTTAAAGAAATTCAGGGGGTTAATGGTTAGAGAATATTGGGTAAATTGAATCTCAGACTTGTTATATTATGTTGAGAGTTTAATATTGATTAATTTATTTATGAATCTTATTATTTATATATATTTACAACCACTGATATTTAAAAAGAACAAATTATTTAGAAGACATAAGATATTTACTCCCAAGTTATTTCACTAATTTAATACTGTAATAACTTTAACCTTTCATAACTTCAAATAGTTGCAATATTTATTTATATATTCTAAGATATGTGTTCATTTGAAAACTTGAGCATTTTATTTCTATTCGAATTTCCAATCTTATTCAATTTCAAAGTTTAATTCTAAATAACATTCTGTTTGTTATGTATCTAAAATTATCCTTGTGGCTCCTGTCTGAAATAATTTTCTTTGAGCTAAAATTTCCATGAGGCTTCTATATCTTGTATCAGTATTGTTATACAATAATTTTCTGGAAAACCTCTCCAGATTTTGTTCCCAACTTTAGAGCTCCACTGTTAGTTTCCATCTAACATAATTGATTACCAATGTGTTCCTTAGAAAGAAGTTTCACTTTTGGTTCCTTCCATGAAATCCCCAAAGTGTTCTCTACATGAAATCCCAACTATAAATATATCTTTACATGAAATTCCCCATTTTCTCCATGGTATGAAATCCTTCATTTGCAATCTTTACATGAATTTTCTTTCTGTTTTCTTTACATGAAACATCTCATTTACCTATGTTCTTTACATGGAATCTCTTGTTTGTGGTCTTTACATGAAATCTTTTATTTCTGTACTTTACATGAAATATTTTATTTCTGTACTTTACATGAAATCTTAAAAGGTTCATTTACATTCATTTACATGAAATTCAGAAATGTCTACCTATAGACTGACTGACTGTTTTCCCCTACATGAAATCCTTGAAGCGTAGTATACCCTGTGTTAAAGTATACCCTGTGTTAACCATAGAGTAATAGCTCATCACAAGTTGTGATACAGGGTGTGGTATATGTTTTCTTGTTGTACAGTGTGTGTCCGAAAGAGTACATGTACCCTCATAAACTATTGTTTAAACCCCTCTTCAGGTGTTAGAATTCACTGCCATAGTATTTTGTTTGATGAAGCTCCTAAATCACAGCTTGGAGTTTGTCTTTTTCCCCCCAGAAATTATGCTTTATGGAATAGAGCTGTGATTTTTGTTGGGACTTTATTTTGAGATATTTTGGTACAGAATGTAATTGGCTGTTTTTGTTTTTTTTAATCTTTACTGATTTCCTCTCAGAAATTAAGCAGAATATTAATGTTTGTTGATAAGTTGTATATATTCTGTAATATTTACCTACAACTTCCCCCACTTTTCCCACTCTGTTGTACTTCAGTGCAAAGAGTGGGGTCCTCCCCTCACCATTTCTTTAGTTGAATACAACTTGTAAATAATGAATTTAACAGTGAAGATTGTGGTGTGAATGTCAACATTGTAACCTAGAATATTTAAATTTAATGACTAATTTTAAGTGAAATAAACAACAACAAAAAGACTTGCATAGTAAAAATATGGTGATATTTTATGCCAAGTTCATAAAATATTAAAATTGTCAGAGCTTAGAGTTAGTGTATGTCATTAAGAGATACTTGATATGCAAAGTTTGGTTTGACATATTTTAAAATGTTTTGTGCTGAACTGTTGTTATTTTGTTTCATTTGAGAATAAGATATGATAGTTCTGCATTAAAATTATGCATATCTTCTGTTATAACTTATATTGTCTAGAAATCAGACCTATGTTGTACGTATTGCTGTAGTTCTCACAGAAAATAATATTGTTGTTTTAAAAGTAGGTCAATAGGTTCGCTTCGCTAAGGAGACCTTGGAAATTGTAGATATTTCTCTGATTGCTCTTTTCTGTTCACATGGAAAATCTTTGTATCAATTAACAATAATTATGATCAACAAT